AAGGGGCTGGGGTGAGATGATGACGGTTCGGTCTTGACAGGAAGCATGGCTGGAACTGGAAGAAGTGGGCTAGAAAAATATGCGTCAACATTTTGAAAGTAGCCAAGGAACGCTGCAGAGCCAGATGGAATTGGAGGTTTAATGTCGGGAGGGGGAAGTGGAGAAGGAGCTGCAAGGCGGGGAGGACGCGGTGAAGGAGCTGGTTTATGAAGGTGCGCTGAAGATGATGGACCAGGAGATGATGGAAGGGGAGGAGGAGGTGCTAGGCGAGGAGGGCGTGTAGATGAAGGGTCATGCAGATCTCTCAGCGATGGTGGAAGTGGAGAAGGAGGTGCGAGGTGAGGCGGACGTTTGGGTGAAGGGCTGGGCAGACCTCTGAGTGAGGAAGATTCAGTCGGTGGCGGAAGTGGAGAAGGAGGCGCGAGACGGGGAGGAGGGGTACGAGGCCTCTTCCGTGAACAAGGCGAAAGGATTGGAGGAAGTGGAGAAGGGAGGGCTGCGCGAGGATTCGTCGAGGGAGAAGACTGCCGGACTGAAGTGAGAGTTGGTGGAGGTGGAGAAGGGGTTGCAAGACGTGAACGGCCTTCCATCGGAGGAGCGCTTAGAATTTGTTGCAGGGTCGAAGGCCTACTGGATGGGGCAATTGACGAAAGAGGTGCGTGAGGCTGAGGATGGGACGATGAAGGTGGAGGAGAGTGGTGGGAAGGTGTTGGGGAAGAATGTGTGAGAGGAGGAGCATCACCTAATGGAATAGGCGATGGGGACGAGCGAGGGGACTCTGGAGACTCACACTTAAGGCGAGCAGGAACAGGTGAAGCGAAGCGAGGGGGTGGCGACTGACATGTGGGAGAAGGTGTAGGTTGCGGTTCGGAATGAAAAGGTAGTGGGGCTGGGTAACAATTACAGGGATAGGGAACAGGGTACGGAGGCATTGCATACGGAGGAAATGGATACAGAGGTGGAGGCGGAAAAGGGTAGTAAGAGGGTGGAAGTGCTGACTGTGAAGGAGGGTGTACATAAAAGGGGTACGGTGGAACTGGTGGTGGTGGATAGGGAGGTGGTGGTGAGACACGGAGAGCAGCGGTAGCCTCTTATGAGGACTGTGTGGATTGTTGTGGCAGACATAGAGCAGGACGCAACATTGACACACACGATTACAATAAGTCCGATCGATTATCAACCAGCTGCTTACTATATCTACCACCACCACCGACGGACGGTGGGCTGGATTCCATAGAGGTGTACGGTTTAGGTCAGGCTAATTGGAACTATGCGCTCCTCGACCAGGGTCGCGCCCTTGAACGTAACCGTAACGGGTACCACTGGCATTTGGCAAACTCATAACATGATGAGGCCGCCTACTAAGCCTTCTCTCACTAGGATCCAGCGAGCTCCGATTTAAACTAGGTGGAGTGAATGTAGAGACGCTTTCTGATTAGAACTCCGTTGAGCGAAATAAAGGGACGTTGCTTTACTTCTTTCGTCCTGTTAAGAAGGACACACAGGGTTTGCCTGTCCCACCTTAATGCGTGCTTGTCGTGGAGTATGCCTATTATAATAAGAAAAATGCCTCAAGAGTAGCTGGCAGCACAACCAAAAGTGAAGATTGTAGGGAATGCAGAGAAAAAGATAGCAGAATAAAAGGAAAAGTCTAGAAATTTCAATTAAGAGTAAGAACTTACGGCGTGCATTAGTTGATTTTCTATTATATTACATTCGTTATCACTCAAGTCAGTCGGGGCGTGTCAACGGGGCGTAAAATCTTATGCAATTCCTCTTACGATGTATTCCCTTCAGAATTTGAGAATTCCAGGAAGCCTTTGAAGAAATCTACCGCTTGAAAAAACACAACGGTAGCGTCGATGAGCCGGATAATGACCAGACAACCGTGGAGGTCGAAGAATTGCGGGTAGGAGAAGAAGTTCCAGCTTCAATACCCGTTAACCTCAGCTCATCACGTTTACTCTTTAACTCAAACTATTCAGCACTTTGCATCCACCATACGCCTCGGTGGCACTGAGCTGGAACGACGAACTGAAGAGATGGCCCGGAAACTGATAAGCGAACAGATCGAACGGATACGGTAGGCCCACTGTGGTAGACTATTGGCAACTCTTTGTGCCTACTCACAGTCTGCGGACGCTAGGGCATGTCAGGGAAGCTCGTATCAGTGGAAGAAGGGGTCGACAACTATTAGTGGAAAACAGGCTGGCGAACTCAGCTCCCTTGACACGCCCTGGCATCCAATGAAAGTAAGACTGTATCCTGGACCTGGGAGGGCGTGGCTGTGTACTCCATTCAAACGTTGTGTCTACTGCGCTTTTGACGTAACATTGTCATTTTGGAACAATGCTAATCACGTTTTTGTCCAGCGCGGAGTCCTAACCTACACCCCCAAAAAACACAGTCTACACCATGTTCGAATCAATCCCGCAGCCACGCCATCTCCCCTCCCATCTCCAGGATACCTAATTAAGATACCAAGAAGCCCACTTCAGTATGAAATTACCCTTGAAAACCGGAGATTCTTTCAGTCTGTCTCGTTCAAACACCGCCCTGAGAAGACGATGCGCACGGGCCGAACATGTGATGCGAAGGGCTCGAGACCGAATGGTTGTGGTGGAAACACAAGCCGGAAAGCGTTGCGCTCAACTTCAGTACCAGCTGGTGAGGTCGCACTTTGAACGCTCCATCACTAGCTTAATGAAAGCTTCCAGGACACGGCACTGATCGATTTGGCAGGTTGCCAAAGTCAGCTAGTCCGATCGATACCCATTGAGAAATACGAGAAACTGGCGGTTCGTTATAAGAAAGAGTGTGTTGCCGAAGTGCTGGACAGTGAGCTGGACGAGGTCCCGCGCGAGAATGTCATTTCGATCGCGTGCGTCCACTTGATCGAAGGAGCCGACGAGTTAGAGGCGAAAGAAACTCGAATAACTGAAGTCGCGTGAGCTACTAAAATTCATGGCACATAACAACACAATGCGATTTCTCTAGGCGGCTTAACACGGTGAAAATATTTATGTGCAATATAGTAAGGAAATGTCTTCGTTGTGGTCTCCGCCCACTGACTAATGCGCCCGGAATGTGCTCTCTAAGTAAGAGCTGTGCGATGTGCGTAATTTTGTTGAGCTTCAGCCAGAAAAAATGTTTCAGAAGATCGTGGAGGTGCTCAGCGAGCAGAATGACTTCTGGTCGAAAGAGACAGAGATCCTTGCAAACGAAACGAAGAGCCTGAACACGATTGGTTCGAAGACATGGAGAACGAAAGCGACCTCAAAAATATCCTTGGTACGTTCCCATCTAGTCGAAAGGGTTTGCCAAAAAATGAACATTTGTGCATTTTCTTTTCAATAACAACAACAAAAATTTACTCTGTTTTTTTTCTAATTTTTCAATTAACCAGTCGGATCGCAGCCTTCGGCGAGCGATCCTCCTTATGCGTGTGAAGGGACGGTCCCCGGCCGCCATACCACAACTGACGCCCAGTGGAGTCGCCCCGGCCTTCGGCGGCGATCCTCCTTATGCGTGTGAAGTGGGTCCCTGGCCATCCAAACTGAGGCCCAGTCGGATCGCCCGCCTTCGGCGGGCGATCCTCCTTATGCGTGTGAAAGTGCCGTGTCCCCGGCCATCCAAACTGAGGCCCAGTCGGATCGCCCGCCTTCGGCGGGCGATCCTCCTTATGCGTGTGAAGTGGGTCCCCGGCCATCCAAACTGAGGCCCAGTCGGATCGCCCGCCTTCGGCGGGCGATCCTCCTTATGCGTGTGAAGTGGGTCCCCGGCCATCCAAACTGAGGCCAGTCGGATCGCCCGCCTTCGGCGGGCGATCCTCCTTATGCGTGTGAAGTGGGTCCCCGGCCATCCAAACTGAGGCCAGTCGGATCGCCCGCCTTCGGCGGGCGATCCTCCTTATGCGTGTGAAGTGGGTCCCCGGCCATCCAAACTGAGGCCCAGTCGGATCGCCCGCCTTCGGCGGGCGATCCTCCTTATGCGTGTGAAGTGGGTCCCCGGCCATCCAAACTGAGGCCCAGTCGGATCGCCCGCTTTCGGCGGGCGATCCTCCTTATGCGTGTGAAGTGGGTCCCCGGCCATCCAAACTGAGGGCCAGTCGGATCGCCCGCCTTCGGCGGGCGATCCTCCTTATGCGTGTGAAGTGGGTCCCCGGCCATCCAAACTGAGGCCCAGTCGGATCGCCCGCCTTCGGCGGGCGATCCTCCTTATGCGTGTGAAGTGGGTCCCCGGCCATCCAAACTGAGGGCCAGTCGGATCGCCCGCCTTCGGCGGGCGATCCTCCTTATGCGTGTGAAGTGGGTCCCCGGCCATCCAAACTGAGGGCCAGTCGGATCGCCCGCCTTCGCGGCGATCCTCCTTATGCGTGTGAAGTGGGTCCCCGGCCATCCAAACTGAGGGCCAGTCGGATCGCCGCCTTCGGCGGGCGATCCTCCTTATGCGTGTGAAGTGGGTCCCCGGCCATCCAAACTGAGGGCCAGTCGGATCGCCCGCCTTCGGCGGCGATCCTCCTTATGCGTGTGAAGTGGGTCCCCGGCCATCCAAACTGAGGCCCAGTCGGATCGCCCGCCTTCGGCGGCGATCCTCCTTAGATTGCGTTGTGAGTGGGCCGTTCCCGGCCATCCAAACTGAGGCCCAGTCGGATCGCCCGCCTTCGGCGGGCGATCCTCCTTATGCGTGTGAAGTGGGTCCCGGCCATCCAAACTGAGGCCCAGTCGGATCGCCCGCCTTCGGCGGGCGATCCTCCTTATGCGTGTGAAGTGGGTCCCCGGCCATCCAAACTGAGGCCCAGTCGGATTCGCCCCGGCATTCAGCTGGCGATTCCTTCTTATTGCGTGTGAGTGGCGTCGTCCCGGCCATCCAAACTGAGGCCCAGTCGGATCGCCGCCTTCGGCGGGCGATCCTCCTTATGCGTGTGAAGTGGGTCCCCGGCCATCCAAACTGAGGCCAGTCGGATCGCCCGCCTTCGGCGGGCGATCCTCCTTATGCGTGTGAAGTGGGTCCCCGGCCATCCAAACTGAGGCCCAGTCGGATCGCCCGCCTTCGGCGGGCGATCCTCCTTATGCGTGTGAAGTGGGTCCCCGGCCATCCAAACTGAGGGCCAGTCGGATCGCCCTTCGGCGGGCGATCCTCCTTATGCGTGTGAAGTGGGTCCCCGGCCATCCAAACTGAGGCCCAGTCGGATCGCCCGCCTTCGGCGGGCGATCCTCCTTATGCGTGTGAAGTGGGTCCCCGGCCATCCAAACTGAGGCCCAGTCGGATCGCCCTTTCGCGGGGCGATCCTCCTTATGCGTGTGAAGTGGGTCCCCGGCCATCCAAACTGAGGCCCAGTCGGATCGCCCGCCTTCGGCGGGCGATCCTCCTTATGCGTGTGAAGTGGGTCCCCGGCCATCCAAACTGAGGCCCAGTCGGATCGCCCGCCTTCGGCGGGCGATCCTCCTTATGCGTGTGAAGTGGGTCCCCGGCCATCCAAACTGAGGCCCAGTCGGATCGCCCGCCTTCGGCGGGCGATCCTCCTTATGCGTGTGAAGTGGGTCCCCGGCCATCCAAACTGAGGGCCAGTCGGATCGCCCGCCTTCGGCGGGCGATCCTCCTTATGCGTGTGAAGTGGGTCCCCGGCATCCCAAAACTGATGGCCCCAGTTCGCGATCGCCCGCCTTCAGAGCGGGCGACCTTCTTATTCGTTGTGTGCATAAGTGAGTCCCGTCGGCCATCCAAAACTGAAGCGCCCAGCCTCGGATCGCCCCGCCTTCGTCTGCTGGTTAGTGTCTCTCTCATGGTGTCTATAATGGTTGTCTCCCGGCATCCAACTTGCGAGGGCCAGTCGGAATCGCTCCGCCTTCCGACGCGATCCGCCCTTTATGCTGTCGTTTGAACTCCGCTGGTCCCCCGGCCATCCACAACTGAGGGCCCAGTCGGATCGCCCGCCTTCGGCGGGCGATCCTCCTTATGCGTGTGAAGTGGGTCCCCGGCCATCCAAACTGAGGCCCAGTCGGATCGCCCGCCTTCGGCGGGCGATCCTCCTTATGCGTGTGAAGTGGGTCCCCGGCCATCCAAACTGAGGGCCAGTCGGATCGCCCGCCTTCGGCGGGCGATCCTCCTTATGCGTGTGAAGTGGGTCCCCGGCCATCCAAACTGAGGCCCAGTCGGATCGCCGCCTTCGGCGGGCGATCCTCCTTATGCGTGTGAAGTGGGTCCCCGGCCATCCAAACTGAGGCCCCAGTCGGATCGCCGCCTTCGGCGGGCGATCCTCCTTATGCGTGTGAAGTGGGTCCCCGGCCATCCAAACTGAGGGCCAGTCGGATCGCCCGCCTTCGGCGGGCGATCCTCCTTATGCGTGTGAAGTGGGTCCCCGGCCATCCAAACTGAGGGCCAGTCGGATCGCCCGCCTTCGGCGGGCGATCCTCCTTATGCGTTGTGAAGTGAGGTCCCTCGGCATCCAATGAGGCCCAGTCGGATCGCCGCCTTCGGCGGGCGATCCTCCTTATGCGTGTGAAGTGGGTCCCCGGCCATCCAAACTGAGGGCCAGTCGGATCGCCCGCCTTCGGCGGCGATCCTCCTTATGCGTGTGAAGTGGGTCCCCGGCCATCCAAACTGAGGGCCAGTCGGATCGCCCGCCTTCGGCGGGCGATCCTCCTTATGCGTGTGAAGTGGGTCCCCGGCCATCCAAACTGAGGGCCAGTCGGATCGCCCGCCTTCGGCGGGCGATCCTCCTTATGCGTGTGAAGTGGGTCCCCGGCCATCCAAACTGAGGGCCAGTCGGATCGCCGCCTTCGGCGGGCGATCCTCCTTATGCGTGTGAAGTGGGTCCCCGGCCATCCAAACTGAGGGCCAGTCGGATCGCCCGCCTTCGGCGGGCGATCCTCCTTATGCGTGTGAAGTGGGTCCCCGGCCATCCAAACTGAGGGCCAGTCGGATCGCCCGCCTTCGGCGGGCGATCCTCCTTATGCGTGTGAAGTGGGTCCCTGGAGCCATATCCCAAACTTTGAGGCCCAAGTCGGATCGCGCGGCCTATCGTGGCGTGGCGATCCTCCTTATGCCTGTGAAGTGGCACGGGCCCTGGCCATTCCAAACTGTCAGGCCAGTCGGATCGCCGCCTTCGGCCGAGGCGTATCCCTCTTATGCCGTGTGAAGTGGGTCCCTGGCATCTCAACTGCAGTGCCAGGTATCGGGATCGGCCCGCCTTTTCGGCGGGCTGAGTCCTTCCTTATGGTGTGAAGTGGTGTCCCGGCCATCCAAACTGATGCCCGAGTCGGATCGCCCGCTGTCAGGCGCGCGCGAGCCTCTCTATATGCGTGTAGAAGTGGGTCTCGCTCGCGCATCACCGTAACTGTAGGCCCGCCGGGCTGCCGTCGCTCCCCCGGCGAGTCGCTGCCGGACTCGCCCCCCGCGTCTCCTCTTCGCGGCGCGTCCGTACCTTATTTGCGTGTGAAGTGGGTCCCCCGCCATCCAATCTGGGCCCAGCGGATCGCCTCGCCTTCGGGCGGCTGGGGTATCTCCTGCCCTCCTCCCCTTCTAAGTGCCGTCATCTCGGTGAAACCCGCTGGGTCCCGGCACCCGAAGACTCCAGAGGCCGCCGCGCCGCGGGGAGTCGGCATCGCCCGCCTCTCTCCGGCGGGGCGATGCCTCCTCTATTGCCGTGCTGAGTGGTCATGGTTCCGCTCGGCCCACTCCAACTGAGGCCCCTCATAGCACTCTCCGGATCTGCCGCCCTCTCGCGGCTGGCGCCGCGCATCTCCTTCATGCGTGTTAAGTCGTTCCCCGGCCATCAAACTAGCCCAGTTCGGTACGTCGCACTCCGCCCTCAGCTGGGCCGATCCTTACTATAGTGCGTGTGAAAGTGGGCTCCTCCGGCCAACCTCCAAACTGAGGCCCAGTCGCGGATCGCCCGCCTTCCCTCGGCCGCATCGCGTGCCCTTATGCGTGTCCCGGCCTCGTCTCGATATGCCTGTCTCTCCGCCATGCCAAACTGACTTGGCCAGTCGGATCTCGCCCCGCCTTTCTGCCTCGCGGTCTGCGCGCCTCCCTCCTGTGTGACCTGTGCGCCCCGGCTGCAACGTGTCGGCCTGCGGCCCCGGCTTGGTCCCCGGCCACTCCAAATGACGGCCCAGTCGCGGATCGCCGCTTCAGCGTGGCGATCCTTCTTCATTGCCGGTCGTGTGAAGTGTGCGTCACCACGGCCACATGCAAACTGAAGGCCCAGTCGAATCGCCGCCTTCGCGGCGATTCCTCCTTAATGGTGTGAAGCTGGGCGTTCGCCCCCCCAGGCATCAAACTGAGGCCCAGTCGGATCGCCCGCCTTCGACGGCGAATCCTCCTTATGCGTGTGAAGTGGGTCCCCGGCCATC